GTGTAGCTATCTAATTCTATAAAAAAGATTTTAATCTGATATATAGTTAAGCTCATAACATGAGAATTGGGTTAAATTCCCATTAATTAGTGGTAATAATCAGTCTTTCACATGGGAGACATGTGAAGAAAGGCAAACCTAGTAAACAGCCCTTGTATTTCATCCTTTCGGGACTACTTTGGTTCCTCTAAATGACTAGGTATGATGGCAATTCCTAAAGACATAAAACTTGCTGATGCCTCGTCCTTGCACTAGGAAGTTCACAGGGACTTTGAAAGGCCACTTACTCCTTCTCACCAGCTTTGACCAAAAATAAATAAATAAAATGCCTGCGGACAATTGTCAAGTCATGCTGTTTTTTTTTTTCCCCAGAGACTTTCTGAAAGGAAATTTCAGTCTCCCTCAGGACTACACCACACTTTTTTTTAAACAACCCTCATTGTAGAAAAGGTCATTTTAATATCTAACCAGAGTCCCAATTGCTATAATAAAAGGCTATGTCCTCCTGTTCAGTCCTTGTTAGAGACGGCGAAGCGTTGGTTACTCATGTCATCATAAAGGAAGGGTCATTGAGTGCCTACTGTGGGCCTCTTCTCCTCTTGTGACAACCCTGTGTGCATTAAAGATCACCTCCAGTCACTTTATAGCTCTCCCTTCTCCAGGCCAAATGAACCCATAAACATGGCCTCTCCAGGGTCCTAATTTCCAGCTCTCTATTAATCTTTGCAGCCTTTCTCTGCAGATATTCCATACTCCTTCCAGCAACGAACATACTCCTCAGTAGTTCCTGACTAATTTGGAATACAAGAGATTTCTTAGTCAGTTCTCAGTTTTGTTGTGTTTTCTCTAAGGTGTAGATTTTTACACAATTTTTTTATTAGTTTCAAAGGTAGAATTAGTGATTCATCAGTTGCATATAACACTCAGTGCTCATTCCGTCAAGTGCCCACCTTAATGCCCATCACCCAATTATCCCTTCCCCCACCCACCACCGCTCCAGCAACCCTCAGTTTGTTTCCTAGAGTTAAGTGTCTCTTATGGTTTGCCTCCCTCTCTATTTTCATCTTACTTTATTTTTCCTTCCCTTCCCCTATGCAACCATTTTTTTGCACCACATGTTGGGTCCTTCCGTGCTTTGCCTAAAGGTTTTGTGACTCTTGGATCAAGGAAAATGGGGGTGAAGACACAGGAAAGACATAAGTAACACATTGATACCTAAAGCTTCGTTCGTGAAACAAAGTCAGAGAACAGTATCCTGTGCCTACAGAAAACGGAATAGCATTGTCAGGCACGGGGTCTCAGTGCTTCTGTTTAAAATCACTTTGAGCAAACAGACCAGTAACACATGTGTATGTGAGCAAGCAGACAGGTGTAAACATATATATGTGTTAAATGTAAAGGGAGTCCCTGTGGCAGGAGTTCTGTAATCAACCTCAGACTGTGATTTCTTTAATGCTTCTCTTCCCACAGTTGGAGACCAGGCGAACAATCAATGAATAGTTGCAGTGATTTGCAAATTTTCTGTGGGAAATTGTAGAGATGTTACTGCTTTTGAGGTATTTAAAGCAGTTAGGGAGAATGCATTGGCATTCAGATAATTAAACAGTAACAAGGATGATCCAAAATGAGTTGTTGGAACCCTGAAGTGATGTTGGAGTTTAGAAGAACATGGTTGGCAGGGTTGGCTGGATCAGCCAGGCTAAGGTTACTTTCTTGGAGGAGGTGGACCCTGAGCTGGCATTTGACGGATGAGTGGTACCTAGATGCCCAGTGGGGTGGGGCGATATTTTACAATGACCTTCCATTCACTAGCAGGCATCCATCTGGCAGGTAAATTACAGCTGAGTTTGGGGTGTAGGGTAATGCAGCAAAGGGGAGCATGAGCACTGACATGGGCCATGGAGAAAGTGGCCAGCGCCTGGGTAGTGCTGGCACCAGGTGGTCATGTGGTTGGAAAGACTCGCCTGGGAAGGAGCAGTGGCGGCTTCCAATGTTTCGATAAGAGTTGAGTGTGTGCCTATGTGCGCACGTGCATGCATACGCCCCGCTTCCTCCCCTGTCCCATGAAGTTGTAGTGGAAAAGGTGGAACTGAAACTCAGATTCTTCTGGAGCCAGTCCTGAACACACAAGAAAAGCGAATGGATTATGTTTGTAAGCACACAGCGGTCCTTATAGGGGAAACCACTCTCCTTTCCTGGAGGACAGATTAGAAAAGAGTGAGACAGAGGAAAAAAGACAAAAAGAATAAGGTGAAGTAAAAGCAGGTAGAGAGAAGAGAAAGAAGAAAGAAGCACTGTGGCCCAACTTTGGAAGGGTTTGAGCTGTGGGTAAGGATATCTGATTACATCTCTCCATACACACGTGGCTTTGAGTAACTTGTGTCTGCCTCTGTCAGAATCTCATCACTACTGTTGGATGAGAAACAAGAATATGTTAATTCATCCGTGCATCCTCATTTCCACAGCATGGTTGGCCCTTAACAAATGTTTGTTGAATAAATGAAATTATTAGATTCTGAAGTTTTTAATTCCCAAGACAGATTGTTCTTGTAAAATAAATACCACATTGCTTATCTTCCTGTAGGAGTCTACTGACTTCTGGTTTTTAGATTAGACTGTCCCACCAAATACAAGGGTAAGCCTTATAAGGACACGATGCCCTCCACATGATCTCTGTCCCTTCTCCCCTGACCCCCACCCCCAAAGTCCCCATACTTATTTTTTTAACTTATGTAATTCAGTATTTCATTCCCTTGACTTAAGTCAAATAGATTCGGCAAATATTCTTGGGAAACACATTGAACCATATCAAACATTTAAATCTCAATCTGAAGGCATAGGTCCTTTCCTAAAAACACGGTTTGTGTCTGAGAAGGAGAATTCTGCTTGTCTGGGTAGCATAAAGGACAAGATAGGAATACAGAGGAACAAACACAACTTGTTCCTGCTACTCAGTTTCGTCTCGGGATGTTCTCGTCTAGGGATGTCAATTTCCAGCTGAAGTCTTTTGCCCTGGTCATCCTCCTGGCTTCTGCTCCTGCCTGTTTTAGCACCTGGGACACTAAAAGGGGTCATTGTCTCTACTTTGCCAACTCAGCAGCTGCATTCAGTACACTGCCAGGCTGTTTCTCTGTCTGTGCTCGGATGCTGAGCAGGTGTGTTCTCCCCAGATACGCCTTTTAAGCTGATAGTGTCATCAGTCAGTACTGCCTGAGGAACCAGTAGCAAGCAGGGGGAAGGCTAATTGGTTTCAAGCCAAAATTCTCTCACTACTCCTGGTCCCCTGTTGTGTTCTGTGTCCTCTCTCTGCTCTGAGTACAATTACGTCCTCCAAGGAGCTTAACTGAGTGGAAGGAGGGTGGGAGCCTAAGCGGGAGTATAGCTGCCCTTCCCTTTCTCTGTGTGACACAGGCAGACACTGGAACCCTGGGATCGGTTCCAGTTGCCACATGCCTGGTTCTGGGTGGTCAGAGCAGACCACCACCCAGAAGCCTCCATCCCTTTCCCTCTCCCACTGGAACCGCCATGACATTGGAACTAAAACCCTAGTCACATCCAGTTTCTCAACACCTCCTGGGCTGTTGTGGTTACTGACAGTGTCTTATAATCCTCTAACCTTTCAGATACCATTCTTTTGGATGGTTACACTCCCTTGCAAATTATTTGTATGTGTTTGCTGCCCCTATTGCTGAACTAGTTCTGCTTGATTTCCTCGTTCACTCTTTAATTTGGTAGCTCCTCATTTTATAGTCCACTAACTTTGTCAAAAATAAATTCCTTTTACCTGTGTGGTTAGTAGCACTCAGTTGATAACATAAGTACCATAATAGGCTGCAGTGAATGCACAGTAAGCACCATGCAATTACAAGGTGAATATATGATAGCTCTATTTTAGCCTCTAAACCCAATACAGGGTGACAGAGTAATTACTTTGGGACCTATTAAGTGTACTCACCCCATAATCTGTAGAGAGATGAATTACATAGGTAGCACTTGCCACCTTCTACTTCCACATACTTTCCAAGATGAAGCCTCTCTTAGGGTTGTGTGGTTGGATAAATCTCATTCTGAACAGCAGTAGCCATGTTGAATGTCTTCAGGAATGAACCACACCCAAAGGACAACTAGCAAACGAGTTGGAAAACAGCTACAATCGATCTTGGGGGTTGGGGAGACACCCACATTCTCAATTCAAACTAACGCTTTTATTTTTGCTTTGCCTATGCATTCAATAGGATGGAGTAGGAGAGGTATGGGAGAAACAGCATGTGCCCTTTTAGAGACCAGTCCTCCTCCACAAAAACATATTAAGTCTAGCATTTAATGGTGCTAGAAAACATTGACCATGGACACTGGAGCCCCTAGGACCAAGACCTCCATATCTCACAACAGAAACTCTCTCATAATAATCGTAAATACCCTAACCTGATGTTGTCAATGTTCTCTTAAACTGAATGATTTGTGCCAAAGCTAAAAAATTCCTATTTGTGAGCTCTGGTCTTCTCTCTCTCGACTCCTAGACTGTGTATGAGCTTCTCACCCCAGCCCACTCTCTGTGAATGCATGTGCCCATCATATAGAAGCAGAGCAGTTTGCCCATGTTTTGTCATTGTATGTGGATCTCATGTCCCCCCTCAAAAATAAGATGCCAAAAAATACTTTGAGGGTAAATATGACTTCCTAAACCAAGTTAATTAAGGAGTTGTCTGTTTTTCCTTGAAAAATACTGCATTCTTTGCAAAATTGATTCTCTTTAAGATTTTATGATGTAGTAAGCTACCTTAATGCAGTCAAGATATTTGACTGGCGTCCCTCTGATTTATACAGGATATTTGAGAAACATGATTATGTATGAAAGTAGAACTTACGGCTAGCTGCATTTGTCATTTTCTCTGAGTGGTAGCTCCAAAAAATCCAATAGCATTTCATTTGTTATCCCAGGGTGGCTCTTCAGCTCTGTGCCCATGTTGGCCATTTAGGATTTCTCTTGTGTCTTTCAGGCATTGAGAACGCCAGCGACATTGCTCTGTACTCGGGCTTGGGCGCTGCCGTGGTGGCTGTTGCAGTCCTGGTCATTGGTGTCACCCTTTATAGACGGAGCCAGAGTGACTATGGCGTGGACGTCATTGACTCTTCTGCATTGACAGGTGGCTTCCAGACCTTCAACTTCAAAACGGTCCGTCAAGGTCAGCGGCGTAGGTCCCCCCAACACCTCGTCCTCAGGACCATAGAGACTACGCTCACACAGGACCCCCAGTGCTCTCCGGCCCTGTGTGAAGGTAGCTCTTGGCACTGGGAGCCGCTGCCTAATTGTCTAAACATGTTAGGAAACCAGGCTTAGTGGGTTAGTCTGCCTCAGTCCTTGGCTACCAGGAGGATGAATGGATCTCAGCTTACCATTAGCAACATTCTCAATGGGGCACTTCCATCCTTGATAAGTAGTAAACTTAGCAAGTTATTTTGTCTCAGATTATCCAACTTTCTATTTTAACAAGCCTGCTCTGAGGATATTTCATTAACTAAAATACTGATTATTCAAACCTGAGCACCAACTACTTTACCATAACCTCCGATGCATATGAATTATACTATTTATTAGGTAGAGTTATTTGTGTTACTTCTCTTTTGTGGAAGTGAAAAGGACTTCAGAGAATCTGTGATGGGTCAGGTAGCCAGAGGGGGAGGAAAAAATGAAGCTCCCAGCTTAAATGACTCTCACCTGTTGCCTGGTCAAAGCAATCTTTTGTTGGAGAGAGAAGGAAATCAATCGATCATGTCAAGCTATAGCAATGCTCGTTTTCAAAATAGAGTCATTTAATTCTCTTATGTGAACCAAATCTGTTTCTGATTGCAAGATGGAGATGAGCTATACATGGATTTTGGTTTAGAAAAAAATGAAACTGTCTCCCTTCAGAGGGTGAAGTTTTCCACCTTGACCCTTCCTGTCAATATTGTCATCTTTATTTCTATTTATTGTGCATCACTAGCGCCTGTAGCCCTCAACAACAAGAAGTCTCACTGCATGTCAGTGATTGAGTAGCGACACGGTTCTGAAGTGGAACCCAAACATGCTAGAAACTGGGAGATGGCTCGCAGAGACAAAAATGCTTTCCTGCCTGCCGCTCACTTCTGGGCACCAGAGTTTCAGGTCTGAGCCTACTTCTCAGAAAGGGACACATCCCCTTGACTTGGGTACATAGCTTAGTAGGTACGATTTAATTAGAAATAAATCGAATGAAGAACTGATTTTTATACTACATAAGAAACTGGAAATCTTTCCATCAAGTACAAGATCTCAGGGTCTCAGACCATAACATTTTAAAATAGAAGAAATACAGTCATTTGAGAGACAGAGGTTTTGAAGTCAGATTGATGGAATCCAAAATTGCTATGTGACCTAGTTCATCGATTATGCTCTGGGTCTCAATTTTTATAGCTATAAAATGGGGATCCTCCTAGCCACCTCAGAGGGTCCTTATGAGGATGAAGTGACTTGGAATAACAAGGGTCATAAGCCCTTGGCAGAAGGAGGGTGCTCAACAAATGTAATGAAGAGGAGTCTAACCGCTGGTGGGTTCCTCTGACTTTGGCACAGGAGGCCAGGGTGTTCCCTGAAGCAGCAGGTAGCAGGTGAGGGGGTGGTTCCCTCGCCTCAGCATTTGGAGAGTGCTGACTTGCATAAGCTGAACCACATCTCCTTAGTGTGGGCCTCCTTAGAGCTTATGGTGTATTGTGAATCTCTAAAAGAATAGATAGCCTTCCCAAACTTACTTTACCATTTTGTTTTTATTTTTAACCAAGAATATCCCAAAGCTAGTGATTAAAGCAAAAATCTTTTATTAAGATTCTACTCTACCCTATATTCACTGCAATGATAAACCTCCCATTGACCTTCATATAATTTTTACCTCCGTTGTCTTGAGACATCCCTTCTTGAGCCAATAGAGTGGAAGGTGAATGGTGATGAGACTTTTAAACAGAATGCCATACTTCGAATTGAGCAGAAGTTTTAAAAGGATTTCCAGAGGGAGCTGTAAAGTAATCAGCCAACTTTCTTCAACCGTGGACTCTTGTCATACGTACATACTTTTATAATCAGACATTTTCTCCTTAAGTTAGACTTCAGTGTAACTCTAGGAAATCTTTTTGCTGCTTGGCTTCACAGAAGCTAGGAGGGTCTTTTAAAAAGTGGCCAAAAATTAAGCTCCAGAAGGCGAGGGCTTGAGATAAAATAGCCATGAGACTCAGGGATGCGATTTTTCAGGTCTCGGTGGAAGGGCCTGTTCCAAATTCTTTTCAGATGTGACATGGTTCTTAAGTACCGCTACTTGCCTGGGAAGACCATAAACAAGAACCAGGCTGAGACCTGTAGAATTCAGTGCAGCTCCATTAAAAAGCACAGCTCCTTGATTGTGTCTTGGCACCAGAGCCTCAAGCATGAAAAAAATGCATCATCAAGGAGCCTTTAGATCTACAAAGCCATTTCATCTCATTTTGAACCTCCTCCTCTATGATTTTGGATTCTTAGAGCATCAGAACAAGAGGTGGGAAAAGTCAGGGTTATAGATTTCTTGCTGGCATTGCTACAAATTATGAGTTGGAAGAACAATAGAGGCTAATACAATATGGCCTAGAATTGCAACATTTTCAAAAATAGCATACTTAAAACATTTTGTCAGGCCCTAAAGGAAGACTGTTTAATATGGTTTGGGTTTCAGTTTGAGGAGTCACATTGACGGACTGATACAGGTGGGAGATTTGGGACTGAGGGTTATTTCATTATTTACTAATAAATGAGATTACTTCATCACAAGAAAATAGCACGGCATTTCATTTTTAATATTTGGCCTAGAAAAAATCGGTGAGCCCCAACAGATGAAAGTCTAATTTCTCATGTTTTTGTAAAGATTTTTGTTTTCAGTTGTTTTGAGATGGAAAGGAAGCCATTCTAAGCCGCTGCCCACATAGAATCGGGAGCCTCACCCTCCCCGTGTGGGGCCTCTTTTCCCTCTCAGAGTGACATATGCACTATTAGAGCAGACGGACTCCTCAGACACAGAGTGATCCGTGGGCTCCCCAGCGCTTTTGCTCCGAGGACACAGTGTTTCCTCCCCCAGCTCCGGAAACTGCCCAGAATTCCCTGCAACATGCGCTGGCATCAACACCGCTCTAGTTATAAACAGCCCTACCTAGCTGTGTCACCTCTTACCATTTAAAATGAACAGATGTTATTTTTCCTCCAAACTGGATTGCAAAACATCTTTCTTCCTTTTTTTTTTTTTTTCTTTAAGCTTCTCTTTGCCAGTTAAAATAATCACATAAATAGTAATACCTGAGTTCATTGCCTGACGGAGTGCCAGAAATACTTGTTTTGGAAAGATGGCATCCAAGGAGCTCTGGAATATGAGTGACGTGGGTTCAGCGGCACTCAGAGAATCCGCTGGAAAAGCCAGAGCTCCAAATTCCAGGGCTCTGGTCACTCCTGACCAGCCTGTGAAAGCTGCCACAGATGCTCAGGGGTGGGCCTGAAGGGCAGCTGACAGGCACACGGTGGTTCTGCAGTTAGGAGAGGCAGAGGCAAGGGGGTAACTGTGATGCCTTTTCGTTTCTGAGTGACAGATCAATTTTCTTTGACCAGGTAACTCCCTGCTCCTGAATTCCTCCATGCAACCAGACCTCACGGTCAGCCGGACATACAGCGGTCCCATCTGCCTCCAGGACCCTCTGGACAAGGAACTCATGACAGAGTCCTCACTCTTTAACCCTTTGTCTGACATCAAAGTCAAAGTCCAGAGCTCGTTCATGGTGTCCCTGGGCGTGTCTGAGAGAGCAGAGTACCACGGCAAGAATCATTCTGGGACTTTTCCCCATGGAAACAACCGCAGCTTTAGTACAATGCACCCCAGAAATAAAACACCCTACATCCAGAATATGTCATCACTCCCCACCAGGACAGAACTGAGGACCACTGGGGTCTTTGGCCACTTAGGAGGACGCTTAGTCATGCCAAATACAGGTGGGTGGTACGTGTGCATTTGTGTATTTCCGAGCGTTCTTTTAAATGATTTATATTGACAATTATGTCCCATAAGATTTATTTTTAAGATGTTTACCATCTTTGTGTCAGAGCTATAAACTGTGGTTCCATAAGCCTCCTCGATTTACACAGCAAACCAGAACTGATGCTGAGATTAGATTTTTCAATCTTCACCTCAGCATGGATCAGCTGTTCCATTTGATGCCCTGTTCGAGTTGACAGCCATATTTTCTCAGAAGGTTTGGGTGGTCCGCAGGGTTTAAGCCCCCTTGAAATATATTTCCTAGAACATGATCAGGAAGCACTGAAAATATTCCTTGATGGGAATGAGAAATACCATGTTTTATAGCCAAACATGGTTTATACACTAGTAGATAATTTAGCAGAAGGACATCGAAGTCGAACTTCCTCCATAACTGACCTAATAAACACTGTCAGTGTCCATAGACCTTGCTATAATGTTACTTTATGACAAGCAATGAAGAAGGTTCATCACGGAGTTGCTCTTTTGAATGCAAACTTCAGGTCCAGGGCTATATCGTGTGTACAATTAGTTCTCAAGAATTTTTTCCTCCTTTTGGTTAGAAGGGAGAGTTTCTTCATGTTTTGACAAGGATACTTAAGGTGTACAGACCAAATCACTTTTAAAATGACATCCTATCTATGGATTAGTCTTCAGAGATGCCATCTAAGACCTAACTGAGTGGCCACAGAGGGCATTCTCTCCTCTGATTTCTAAGCAACGAGAATTAGGTAGTGCTGTGAATCATCGCTGGTTGGCTGCTGAGAGGAAAGAGTACACTATCTCTCTATGTGTGACAAAACCACCAGACGGCCTTGAATCAGGACCACTGGGGCTTCGGCTGCCTTCTTTCTGAGGTACAGCTCTCTACCCTCTCCAAATCAATCATTTTATCCTCTAAAATGAAATCTGTGATAGGACTAGTCTGAAACTCCCATTCCAGCTAACTGACCCTACAGTAGCTTAGTGACCTGACACTGCACTTTGGTTCAAGTTGAGAAATGTCTTGTTCTCCTACATCAGTTGCTTCCTTAAAAATCGCCCTCAAATGCAGGCCTACTCATGATTTTGTTTTCTGAACTTTCAACTCTCAAAATCTTCCTTGGTCCATGTTTTAGAATGTGGTAAGAATCTTCGTTTAAACATGCATGAATGTCAACATGTGACATAATCCTCCCTGGTTATAATTGGCAGTCAGAAGACTCAACGCGGAACAAGTCAGTCAGCCATGCTTACCAAGTACTCTTCTTGTAAGAATCTATAACCACCCGGAGATGGGTATTAAGGAGGGCACGTATTGAATCGAGCACTGGGTGTTACACGCAAACAATGAATCATGGATCACTACATCAAAAACTAATGATGTGATGTATGGTGACTAACATAATAAAATTAAATTAAAAAAAAAAAAAAGGATCTATAACCTGGAAGTGTAGGCTCTGGAAAAAGAAAGTGCCGCAAACCCCTCCTAAGAACAGGATATATTCATCAGAATCCTGGAAGGTTGCATTTTGTCTTCCCTTTCCTTCCTAACCCAGTGTGTGGCACTTCAGAGGCTCCCAGTAGTTATTGGTTGAATAAATTGGCCCACACGCCTCCTCTCTCTTCCCATCTTTGTGTGTGTTTACATACATGTGGCAGGCATGCCAAGATCAACCCATTCATTGGCTGTTTGTTTAAGGTTCATCAAAGAAAGTGAGATGGAATCATGAGACAGATTTTTCTTTTTCCTCCCTTCTGACTCGAGAAGCACTTGTGTTGAAAATGCAAAGTTCTAATGGCGTCTGATTCCCAAACACTTCCTCTGTGAAAGGGCATTTTAAAAGTTTCTAATAAGAAGCCCTGGACAAGATTGAAGCTGTTCACTGGGAATGAGTTTGAGGAAAAATAAGTGTGGGGAATTGAAACATATGCTGTGTTATTTGCAGAACATAAATGCAAAATATGCCCTAGGGGGCTAAAGTGTAAAGAAGCAAGGCACAGCAATTAAATTGTTTTAGTGCCATCCGTCCTGAATTATTGTATGGTGCCTGGCCATGATTTTTCAAAAAGGATAGGATGGTCCCCACGCTGTAGAAGTCATTTATTATGCAAAGTATGAAGCAAGAAACTCAGACAGGTGGTTCTGTTGTCATATCAAATAAAAGGCTGTCAGGGTAGCAGGTGGAGTTTGGGGGAAAGTATGTTTCTTTAATTAGAGATAACTGGTGAGTGACAAATTGAAAACAGATACTTCTTTAGGGGACCACAGGCATAAAGATTCCCCACTATGCCTTTCCTTCTTCTTAAGCTATAACTTGTCACCCACACTACCACCTACCACGATCCTGCCTCTGTGTTTGTGTCCCATCTCTGTTGACAATCTGCATGTTTAAGTGGAGGAGGGAAGTGTGTTTGAAAGAAAAAATTTCTGGTCGAAGGAAAGATGAAATCGTTTAAAGCTCTAATGATTCTATGGATTCAGGTTGTATTTAGGAGTATTATGAAATAATGTTTCAATCTGAACACAGGGAATTAAGCTGACTTGAAAGGAATAAGATATGATCCGTTCTACAAACAGCCCTATCTCAAAAGTCCACACACATATTTATTCTGATTCGATCTGGGAGTTGACCGTCAGGCACTGATGATCTAGAGAAGAGACCACGTCTCAGAGTCTGGCTTTTTTTTTTTTTTTTAAACAATTTTGAATCCTATTCCTTCATCTATTTAGGATTTGGTTTTTGTTTTTGAGTGCCTACTGTGTGCCAGGCATTGTGCAACATGTTATTGATGTAATAAGCCTTCCTTGCTTTTTTTATTTTAAACACACTGTAGGATTTATTTGCAAGTTTACAAAAGGCACACTAATCAACATGTCAGAAAGTAAAACGTGATCATTTGGATTGGCAATCGAAGAACTGACTATAAAGGGCACCAGGCAATTCTGTGGTGATGGCAATGTCCTGTATCTTGACTACGGTGGTGATTACATGAGAGCATACATGAGAAACTCATCAATTTATACTCTTAAAATGGGTACAGTTTATTGCCTGTGAATTGTACCTACAAAAAGTAAAAATATAGGAAAAGAAAAATGGGAGCACAATCAATTTATTCTTTGAGGTTAATTGCCTAAGATGACATCATTGCTTCAGGATGCTTCTATACCTAAACAATAAGGACTGAAGATCTCTGTTGTCATAAGGGCCTAGGGAGGCAACAGAGAAGAAGCACTGTGTCAAACAAACAGAATACAGAATGTCTAGGGTGTGCATTCAGCTTGACATCCACACACACACTGAATATCCTGTGTATCACAACTTCTGCTCAACAGTACTGGAGTCCACTTCCTTTGGCAACTACATTTAAAAAAGAACAGGAAATGAAAGGAGGAGCCTGATCAGAGGCCCCTAAGTATGGCAATTACAGTTCCATTGACATTAAAGTCCAGAATATAAATGGATAGTCTTGCTGAAAAGCTGTGAGCAAGATTTAAATGTGCCTCATTCTTAGTGCTGGCGAAAGATACTGATGATAACTAGCATGTTACTGAATAATGCTCAAAATGTGCATCACAGATAACTTGTTTTGCAATGAGTCTTGCATTCCTTGATTCCATAGCAGCTAACAGGCACATAGAAGGATATCAGGAAATCCTGCCATCTCTAGATGTAAATTACCATCGGCAATCTGAAAAGCTTTCTGTGCAATTACATCAGCTCTAATGGAAGGGGGAAAGGTGGAAACCATATTATTCAAAGAATAGGAGGATGCCCTGAGATTTTATTTTGCAAAGGTCTTACTTTGTCTCTATCTCATCTCTTTTTATAAACAAGAAGCTACATTAAAGACAATCTCTTCCCTCTCTAGATTCCTCTTTCTTGGCCAAAGTGAAATATTTACTTCGCAGTAGATAAGAAGAGGGAGAGGATATTGCAAACACAGTGTGATGTGCCTTCCTGGGCCTTCCCTCCCCTGTGTTATAGGATTTTGTTAAAGTTAGGCTACTGATTTTTCTCTGATTTGACACCAACATGAATATGGTTACACCACCTTTAACTCTCATTGTTTTTAGCTTCGGTTTGCAAATATAGGACAAATACCAGCTATACAACAACCTACAATGTCCCTAAATTTATCCATGCTTTTTTTTTCCCTTCAGTTTTCTTGACAAAATACAGTACTCTGTTATCACCTCTTTAAACCTACTTTGAGATGCATAATTTATAAGACAATTTCATACAAGGCCTGAGCAAAGCATTAGAGGGCTCGCCCACCATCTCAGATGTCTTTTCAGGAAATGACTGGAGAGAGATGAGCTACAGGAATACATTTTGAAATTTTGCAGCAGATTAACCAATACACTGATAAACTCTTATATTCAGACATGTTTGATAGTGCCTGGTCTCAGGACACCCAATCTTTTAAGAGAATTAAAAAATGCTGGGAAGACTCTAAATAATAAAAAGCGAATTTGAGTACACAGTCGAATAACATGCTCCTCTTTATGTCAGTGTTGGGAAACAATGTTTTCTCCATTAGTATCTTGAACTTTATAAACTTTACAAAGATCAGGATTTCATAAATTGCTGTGAGGTGTGTGTGTGTGTGTGTGAAAGAGAGAGAGAGAGAGAGAGAGAGAGAGAGGGGCGGGTTATCTGTAAGGTGCTCAGCTGTGGAGCTTCAAGATCATTGGAAAATCGACGAATAACCTCTTGGCTCTTTCTGTTTTAGGGGTGAGTTTACTCATACCACATGGGGCCATCCCAGAAGAGAATTCATGGGAGATCTATATGTCCATCAACCAAGGTGAACCCAGGTGAGAGACAGAGAAGGGTGGCATATTGATGACATTTTAAATATGGACATGGAGCGACTGCAGAAAATCTGAGGTTTTTAAGATAATTTGGCATGGAGGTGTACAGCTAAGATCTGTGAGTTATTTGACTATATAGAGGAAAAAAACAGTTGCAAAACTATTGGATAAAATGAAAACACACAGAGCTAGCTCCACAATTTTGGGTGACTAATCTAGGTCACTGACCTCTTGACTGCAGACACCAAATATAAAACCGTGTGAATCATAGGCAAGTCATTAGCAGGGCCCCTCCGTCAATATTGACTGCCTCACATAGTCTTCCTCTCAAAAGAAAAAAAAATCATCCCAGGAGGTGCTCTTTGCTGCTAGGCATTATGCAAATGCTGAGAATGACCAACCTATGACCTTTTCAGGTCAGCACAAGACATGCTCTTGGCTTAGAGAGGATTTCTCAGGTAATCTTCCCTCCATGTTAAAATACCATCTACACTGCAATAGCTTTCAGGTCTGACACATTTCAGTAGCATTAAATTCAATTACATGAACAAATACAAATCTTGTCACAGTCTTTAATGAAAGTAGTTGGTTATTTTCTTAGCGCAAGTATAATATTTGCGGAAATGTTGCTTTCCTCCACACAAGATAAACCTAGCTCTGCTTTAGAAAGCAATCTCTCTCATAAACTGGATGGATCCCTCTGGCATTTTCAGTCTTAACATCTTGGTTATTTTAGGCTAGATTTTTTGTTGTGAGCAGAGAACACATGAAGGAAAAACACTGGAAGGGAAAAAAAGCCAGAGAAAACAGATGGTTTGAACAGATTCTGATAGCTATCTCCATGAAAGGATTTGTTGGTGCCCAGTGGTTTTAACTTTCTGCTCGAGAGAGCTTGGAAGGAATGGAAAAGGCTCTGCTAGCTGGCTGTTGGCGAGGCTCTCGGAGGCCTTGTGAGTAGGCCGTGCTGTGGTTTGTTCTCGTGCTGTCTCCTTCAGTCCTGGAGAACTAGATCCCTCACCTACACACCTGAAGGTACGCTAGTATCTGATCACCTCCACGTGCAAATAGAGGCAACCACGGCGCAGAGGGGCTTGGAGAGTTTATTCAGAATCTCAGTTAAGCAGACCCAAAAATGGAGTTTCCTGGATAAGAGTCGCCTCTTTTTTATCCCTTTGGTTGACTTATACGAGAAACCATACCTCTTTAAAATTTAGGTCAGGGTGCATTCCACACATGCTGACTGAACACATCGTCCTGCAGAGATCGAGTACGAGGCAGAATCCAGTCAGCCTGACTGAATCACAGCCTCCTGCCAACCTTCACCCCTGCATCCTGCTTCCTTCCTTATAATCCATCCACTGAGCCTACATTCAACCCTTTCCTCTCAAAACCCAGTGTCTTCCACCTCATTATGTGAGAACCAACCTAGGGCTAGTTCACATTTTCAAAGGCACCCAATTTACAATTCACCTCAATCCCTGTCTCTTACTAGAAGCTGCATCTGAGGAGGTCAGAATGTGCCAGAAGGCTTAAACAGACAGGACTTATGTGGGAAATATCACTCGAGATGTCCTGCAATTATAAAATATAAATTATAAAATATAGGATTATAAAATTATAAAATAAGGAGTTATATTATAAATAAGGAGAAATATATTAAAAACAATTATAATTATAACTTTTTATTATAAAATTAGGAGATTTTTTTATTATAAAATTATAATATTATAAAATAAGGAGAAATATATTAAAACATGCCAGAGCCCACAGACCTTGAAAGACAGGTTTGGCCTGATGTGGTCGCCTCCTGGACCACCACTAGCTTTGTAAGTTCTGTGTTAACCGGTTTGGTTTGTCCATCTGTATCTAAGATGTGAGTTTATTACTGCTGTCCAGGAAGGTGGAGTGGACAGCAACAGGAACAGTTCATCCAGGACTTCAGATCTGTGAGGTATGCATTTTCCTGTCTATTAAACGGAGGGTAAAGTACAATTGTAGGAGGTACACATTCCTTTTCATGTTGCTCAAACCTTCCCAGATGTTCCTAGCTCTCAAGAAAATGACCAGTCCCCAGGCTACTGCTCATTTAGCTTCCTTGGCAATCTTCATTCCCTTTCAAGAAGCTCCAAACTACTTACTAAAACACTAAAAATAGCACATGCCTTTCTGCTGCTACTTTTCTTAAGCTTGGTGATTTTTTTTCACCCCTAACAGGAGGCTGCTCAGAGCTAAGTTCTGCAGCTTTTAATCCTGTGGTTAATCGAAAGTCCATTAATGAAGCGCTCTTTAGTGTCACCTTTCCTTTGTGATGTCACTTAAAAACCCATTTTCATCTTATGCTGGCCCTCTGTCCTGCTGAACTTGTGCTCAGAATAAGGCCTGTTTTTTTCACCATCCGTAGACCTGGAACAGCATGGCTCTGTCTCTTTAACCTCTGAGTCTCCGTCGCTTCCACACCCAGAATTACAGTCAGATCTTCCAAACAGCCTCTTTATGCTATATTTAAAGTCCGTTCCATTTTCCTATTGATGGTACCCTTCTGTTGCCTTTTTCTGAGTGACATCTCTGAGATAGCTGGGTGATGATTTAGTGGAATTGTCACTGAAATCATTGATCCAAATTCAGTATCAGATTCCCAGAGATAGGGCTGGGTGGAATGAATCACAGACTTAAAATAACCCCCTGTATTCAAATAGGCTCCTCTGGCTGTATCTTGAAATTCTGGTAGGTTTTAAGTGAGGGGGTTCATTGTATGAATTTATGCACCCTGGCCCTCTCCGGAGGTCCTACTTCTATTGCTGGGAAGCCTCCTGGAGGATGCTCTGTATTTTCCACTAAATGGAATGATGTCACTCTCCCTCAGTGTCCCTCCTCTGTCTGGCTTGAACTATCATTTTAATGAATCTCTTCCAACCTGTGCAGCAGTCTGGACCTCTGGTTGCTCATAACGCTTAGGAAATGATCTCTGTTGGCTTTTTGTACAGATATGCGTATTAAATGGTTTGCTGGACGAGGGCTTTGCGTTCTTGGAAAACTAATAAATTACCTCTGCTTCCATGTAACTTGCAAAGTGCTCTCACATGCATTTGACTCATTTAGTCTTCCGTCATGTCAAAAGAAGAGGATTTTGTAGCAATTTTAGAGAGGAGGAAAAAAAATCGAAAAACATGAAGGTTCCAAGAAGCAAAGGTGCTTCGAAGGGAGTGTTACTCTCCTGGCAGAGCTGGGATTTGACTTCAGGCTATCTGACCACAACTGCAGTGCTCACACACTAAATGATGCCATCTCTCCCTGATGTCACAGCCTTTACAGAAACAGCTTTCTTTTTCTTTTTTTTAAGATTTTATTTATTTATTTGACAGAGAAAGACACAGCGAGAGACAGAACACAAACAGGGGGAGTGGGAGAGGGAGAAGCAGGCTTCCTGCCAAGCAGGGAGCCCAATGCGGGGCTCTATCCCAGGACCCTGGGATCATGACCTGAGCCAAAGGCAGACGCTTAATGACTGAGCCCAGGTGCCCCCAGAAACAGCTTTCTGACTTTTGCGTTCCAACTCTTGGCCCCTAGAATGGGGCATCTCTGGAATCGCTCTGTATGAGCACTGAGAATTAAGCAAGGCAGAAAGGCAGGATCAAGTTGAATTTTTCTTAGAAGTACATCAGGGAAATTGCTGTTGTTACATCATAGAACTGAGAGCACAGAGGCTGGAAACGAGTCCCACTAAATTGCTGAGTCTCAGCAGACACAATGTTAGGAAACATCTGAACTCAGTGGCTAGGAGTGTGAGCCCAGGCATCAGAGGCCCCGGGTTCAGATCTAAGCTCCACTGCTATCATCCATGTGACCTTAGGGAAGTTCCTAAAACTCTTTGCAACCCAGATGTGTCCTCCTCTGAAAAACAGTAGGTATCTACCTTATAGGGATATTGTGGGAATGCATGGTAGACAGTGATACAAAAATCTAAAAGATGATAAAATAGGTGTTCTTTTCCTCATTGCTACACTTATATTTGACAAAGCATTCTACCTACAGTATATCCTTTCATCTTCACATGGAGCCTATATAGTAAACAATAATATGATTATCCTAATTTTTATAGATTTGAAAATTAACACCAAGAAAAGTTAGTAAGCTCAATTTAGGGTGTAGCAAGACTAGGCGCCAAAGCAAGATGATCTGACTTATAATGTATTTCAATGCTATATCACAATCCCTACCATAAGGCGCAGTTAGGTATGTTATCCATGAGTCCAGTAAAGCACATTTGGGGTGTGACAAGGCTTATGCCTAATAATGGAAATACATCATGAAACAGAGGCAGAGGGGCCCAGATTTGGGAAGGCCATTATTACTTTGCAACTCAATGTGGAACCACACTGCAATAGGGGATCTCATGGAAAACCATGGAAAAATACAAAATGGCCCTTAATCTGTTCTAAGCATAGACTCACAGACAGGGTGTGGAGAGAGTACCTTTCAGAAGTTGTCACTTGACCTGAGTCTAAAACATCAGTGGAAATTAGCCAGGCAAAGAAAGGTAAAAGGGCAGTAAGTATCCCAGTGTCCAGCTCCGGGATACATTTTCCGTTATCTACATAGCATAAGAGGGGCAGGGGGAGAAGTCTGTAAGAGCGGCTAAATCCAGATACATTTCCCTGCTTTTAAGTCATTATCTTAAGCAGCTTCCTTCCAGCTGTAGCCCAGGCCAGGGCACAGGTAGGACAAAGAGTTAGGTTTCACGAGCTGCCCTCTTCACAAATTAGAGAACGCTTAGTGACATCACAGGAACGGGAACTTGAGCAGCCTCACAGAAAGGCAAGGGCATGAAATTGGGGCTGCCAGAAGTATTTGCTGGGGAAGCCCTTGGGCTCTTCCTGGATCCGGGGCGTTTAAGCAGCTAGCTCAATTCTAGACATGGCCTCCTTTCCTATCGCCCCCCTTTGGAGGGCAGGAAACCAGCTCTGATCAGTCTCAGAAAGACTCTCTCTTTTCCCAAACTTCAA